AGCAATGAACAATCAACCTCCCGTCCCCGCCCAAAATATGTGCCCTTAACCGAAGCTGAGCGCAACAATGAAAATGCGCTTTGGGTGACGCCCCACATGGTTGCGAAGTAAGTAACTATGAATTTTATCTAACGTGAAATAATTTTTTCAATGTATCATAATGTAATCAAAACTTTTATAAATAAATAATATTAATTTTCTGAAGCGATCAAGATGTGTTGGACCAAATCAAACTCATAATCGGAGGACACTTTCTTGGGAACTGGGCAACATACACGGATGTTGACCCCAAGGTTCGTGAACTTTGGTGGAACCTGTTCAAGGTAAAAAAAAATGAATTTTCTCTGCGTAATTGTATTAACGTAACATTTGATAAAAGATAAATTAATTTATTTGTTTTTTATAAAGGGTCGGTTTCGATGGACTGAAGCCCAAGGTCCCGCTATTCTTAGAGCGTATAACGCTAGGATTTCAAATTGGCTTCGTCCTACTTTTAGGCGTGCCCGAACGAGCGGGGTAAAGCCTGGATGGTGTTCGGATGAGGTGTGGGCTAACCTCGTCCGTCACTGGTCTTCTGATCCAAACTTCTTGGCAAGAAGTCAATCCGGTAAGAAAAACCGGATGTCCGAGAAGGCCTTAGAAACCCAATGGCATGGGGGCCGCAAACCTCAGAGTAGACATAAAGAAGATCTTGTAAGTATTTTTCAAAAAACCTTACACAATTACAACCCTTTATTTTAACAATTAATTATGGATCTTAAGCCTTTTTTCCAAACTGTAGTCGGGGCCTGAGAAGAAGAAGGTCTCAATTCTCAAGGTCATCAAGCACTGCTGGACAAAGCACGGCGATGAGTCCGATGCCGATCTGCCACCCCGCCTCGCTGAAATCGAAGTAAGTAACAATATTTTGTTACTTATTTCCATTCAAAATCAAATTGAGTAACATTAAATTAGCAATTTTTGTACATGTAGTCGAAGTATAACACAAATGTTGAGAAGAGGCGGGCAGAATTAGGCTTGACTCAGGAGGATGAGATTGATTCTGATGTGGAGGATGATGCCATCTTTGAGGCAGTTGGGGTGTGCAAGGGCCGGGTCCCGTGCATGGGGGCTGAGGGGCAACGGATCTTGTACGACCGCAGCGGTGCTTCATCTTCCCGATCAAGGCGCGGAGAGGATCCGCGTATCGCTCAAATGCAGCGGGAGATGGAGGAGCAGCAGCGGGCCTTGGATGAGCAGCAGCGCACCTTGGAGGAGCAACGCAAAAAAGAAGAAGAAACAAGGGCCCGGCTGGAAGCGATGGAACGGATCCTCAGCGCCGGAATTCAGAATCAGCCTCAGCCTCAGCCTCAGCCGTATGTACAGCACCCCGAGCAGACTCCTCAAGTACACATGGGCGGTTATTTCCGTTCCAACTCTGCTACCGGGTTGCCTTCATTTGGTTCTATTCAGGATATCAATTTTCACAACCTGTTTCAAACATCTGGAGGCAGCCAAGGAGGTGGCAGTCGCGGAGGAGGCAGTCGCGGTGGCCAAGCTGGATACAACCGAGAAGATGAGACCGAAGAAGATTATCTATATGATGATTCTAGATATTATCATAATGGTAGCCGGAGGAGCTTGTAAATGATATGCATTTTTATTTGAACATTGTTTATTTACTATAATTCTATTGTGCTTATTATTACTTTTATTTCAGTCTGTTTTGTTATGAAATGTGTGTTCTAGTAGTCTGTTTATTACTTTTATTCTACAAATATTTTTTAAAATAAACTTTTCTAAAGAAAAAATTAAAAATAAATTTATTTTTTTTATAAAACAAAAAAACTTTTTTTTAAAAAATAAAAAACTTTAGTCACGGATCCGAGCCGTGACTAAATTCTAGACCGATTTTTTAAAAAGTTATTTTACAAATTTAATTTTTTTTAAAAAAATATAAAAGTGGTCACGGATCATGTCCGTGACTAAAATTTGAAATTTGAAAATTTAAACCGTAACATTTGGCGGTTCATTTTTTAAAACTTGAAAGTTTAGTCACGGATTCGTCCGTGACTATATTTAGTCACGGAAAAGGCCGTGACTAAGTCGCCGGTGTGGTTATTCCGGTGACAAGTTAGTCACGGATACGGTCCGTGACTAAACCGTGACTACGCTAAGTCACGGATAAAATGACCGTGACTAGAATTAGTCACGCCCAAACAGTCACGGATTTAGTCACGGACAAAGTCCGTGACTAGCAGAGTTAGTCACGGATTTTTTATACTACGGTCCGTGACTAAATCCGTGACTAACTCCGTGTTTTTTGTAGTGATTCCAGAATTTTGTCCTCAAAAATTGAATGACCGGCTTTTGACTTGAAGTATGTGTATACTAGCACACCGGTTGGTTGGTCTCATCAAGTCACATTATATGATACTTGAACATTATTCCTTATCATATAAAAGTGTTATTTATTTTAAATATTGGACAATAAATTCATCAATTCAATACATCACTTTTGCAACTTTTACAACTATGAATTCTTGTCATCAAATGAAATCAATCCAAACATTTAAGTTGTTCACTAATGTATAATAACCCACCTTCAATTCATATATTATACATATTATCTTAGTACTCAAAAAAAGAGAACTAAAGAAATAACATTTATATCACCATATTTCCAACATATTCTTCATGAAATGTAGTTTATCTTTGAGTATTTTATTTCCACTGCAATTTAAACACTTTCAAACTTGAATATTTTGGAAAAACTATCTTTATACTTGTTGTTTCTAGTAACTATTTTGGGGTAAAATTTTGAGTGTTACATAATATAATAAAGTAGATAAACTCAAAATTTGGACTACAAAAGAGGCCATGTATTTGTGACTTTTCAGTAGGTCTTGTGCAGTCCTGCTACGTACGTCTTTTACCCAATTGATCGAACAACGAACGTTCATGCCATTGAGTCGACGATGTTATTTTTCTCTGTTCTTTTGGCGGTGTCAGGGCGCCTGCTTCCTGATCGATGGTTCAATTCGGACAAATTAATAAGACTGCAATGCATTGAAATCAGCATATGGATTTGGTGTATGAATAGCAAGGTCGTACACGCATGCACAGTGGCTTCCCTCTACCTATAAGACTGTAGCACATGGGAATATATATGATGCTCATAAATACTCCCTGCATTATGGATCCGACTTGTGGGCTATCAAGAGCTTTGTGCTTAATAATTCCCTATGTCTAGTCACTGCCGCGACCAACAATGAGAATGAATGTTTTGGCAGGTTAGGAAAAGAACACATAACTGCCATCACTAATTACTTACACTCGGTACATAGGGTGATACAAGGGGTAATATAAATTTGGGTTTGAATTCTTGACAATTGCGATGAAAGGTAACTATCTAAAAATATAAAGTCTTTGCAAGTTCTTAGAACACAGACCTAATCATTATCTGTCACTTTGGAATTAAAGTATAATTTACATTCTTTCATTTAATTTTCTGACCGGTGTTAGAGCCCCCAGGCAGGGGCACAGTCAGAGGTGAGAGTGGTCAGTCAATCCCTCTGAATGTTCAAGAGTGTAAAGATCTGAAATATCTTCGCTTTGATATATTATGGATCTTGTAACTCATTACGAATAAAAGATTATGACTATTGGAAAAATCAACATTATCTTAATTTGAAGTGAGTAAAATTTGGTTCTTATATATTTTAATCATTAGTTGATTGTTTACCATAAATGACATATATACATATAATACAATAATGAATATGATTCATTAAACTATCACTTATCTCAGCTACATATGCAACATTTGACTCAAGTATTATTTAATAACGATTCACATATCATTATAGTACTGTGTATAATAAAATTTCGACCTTCCTCACACGTTTTTCTGGCTCTGCCACTACCCTCTGGGATGAAGTATCATCCTTTTTACTCATTCATCTCTTAAACATTTTACCAAGTCTGATTGACACATGAATTAATAGTAAAAATTGTGTAACTGAGATTATTAAAAGAGAAGTTTTGAATAACAAAAAAAAAGTGACAAAATGATAAGGGTGAGGTATCATAACGACCTACGGATAGGAGCAAGTATTGGCATGAATGCTGCCAGGTGTATACTACGTATTGTGTAGCTATCTGACAAGCACCAGAAATGCTAATTGTAGATGATCAATTGAATGAGGTAAGGTTGATGGGTTGTTGTCAATAAGCTTAGGCATGCATGCCTAATTGGCCATTCCAAATAAAACCTTGATGTCTAGGTCCTTTCCGCCCACTTGGACTAGACCATCACAACTTTGACTTCTCTGATCATCACTTTGTGACCGACTACGGAGCTGGATTGTACTCAAGGACGAGTCTTTGAGGGTAGCATGCATTTGCCAGGTGTATCCTACTAGAGCCGTCTAGTAAAATACTCCATTTGTCTCATAAAATGATTTCCTCATTGATTTAGATTGTCATTCAAGAAAATGAAATTAAAATGAAAATTTATGATTGTAATTGTGTTAGGAAAAAGTAAAGAAAGATTGCACCTTGACACTTGACAGGGTCTTAAGTCGTTACTCTAGGATACTCTCCATACCCAATATTATCGTCACGTTTCTTTGCGATGCACTTTATTCTTATTCATGCGTGCCCTAAAAAACTTTAATATGTGTGGTTCGCTAATCCCAATATTACTCTTGTACAAACTCACTTCTACACACCTCTTAGCAAATAATAAAGTTTCTTAAAAGAAGATCCACATTGTCCGAAGAGTACGTACCTTTGATGAAACAATTAATATTGAGAAGGTTAATTTCATTGTCGATATTTTACACACACAGGATAGAATTTCTATAAATTATACTTCGTATATATACGCCCCTTCAGCGTGACTTCAATAGTTAAACACATCAAGAATCTGAAATTAATTCTCTTTCTATCTCCTAATCTCCCCTGTATTAAACTTTGGATTGAACTTGGCTAGCAAATCAATGAAATCAAAGAGGTCCTATTATTGCACTTCTTCCATATTTTAGCCATTTTTTGAGAATTCTTTCTAACAAAATATTTTGGGAACTAAAATACAAAACATGCTAATATAGTAAGAGTAAGTGATGCAACTATGCAAGTTTGGTACCAACTTCAATTCAGCTCCCAAATTATGTAAACATGTTTCATTTCACTAGCTAGTCCCTTCACATACATACACCTACATACCTATATGCGCACTGAATATAATGTACCAAAAACTGAACACAGACTGAAGATAATCCATAATGATGCATATCGTTCACCAACTGCTAGCTAGCTTTCATTATTAACTACAAATGTCCTGCTCGATTTCCGAGGCGGGTTCGTCGTCGTCGTCGTCTTCCTCCTCCTCGAAAGAGTCAATCCCGAAAGGGGAGTGGCCATTCCCGAAAGACCTGATGTGGTCTTTCAAGGACCTCTTGTGCTTGAAGTCGGACCCGCAGGAGCAGTACCACAGCTTGCCGCAGTTCTTCTCGTGGGTCCGCCAGTCTCCCCGGACGGCGAACGCCTTGCCGCACTTCCGGCACATGAACGGCTTGATCCCGTGCTTCCTCTTGTAATGGGTCTGAAGGGTTCGGAAATCTTTAAGCGGCTTCGCCCGAGGGTGGTCGATGTTGTTCCGGCACCCCGCCGCGCAGCAGTAGCACGGCAGCCGTAGCATCGCCGTCGGCTGCGTGCCCCGCAGCGACTCCGGCCCTTTCCTGTACTGTGATCCGTGACCCCACATATGCATCTTCATGCGGTTCCATGTCCATACATCACAATTTAAAAAATCAAAAAGTTCTTCCATCCAATTTTATAATGTACTCCAATATATTTTTAAAATGACTAAAATAGTTAAACAAATTGCTTAAAATAGGAGAAAACAAATTGAAACAATATATAATATTTAAATATTTAAAATAAACTGCTCAAATGGAGGGAAACATATGCACTATGAAACTAATTAACTTTTACAATTAAACAATTTAAATATTACGGAGTAATAAACAATGAGATAATGACTTGAATCCATTAAATATATTACTAATATGATACCTCATTTATTTGTGAGGTAGAATAACAATCATCATCAGTTTTTTTTAACCAGAAATTATATGGTCATTAGATTCATTAGGTCTTGTTTGGTATTTCTAAGCTTTGACTAGTCTCTTTAATTCAATCAATTCTAATCTAGTACTATTATCCTTTTCTTTTTGCTTGAAACATTCATAATTTTTACACTATTCATACGCCCTACTTAGACCCACTACATTGTACTTATTAATGTATGAGAATTGTTATTTTTTGAACATATAATTTTTCTCATTACAAATTTTGGTAATCAAATTTTTAATATTTTACAAAAGAACTAAATATAGTCACAGTCAAAATTATATGTCGGTAAATGTGAAATAGGAATATTCTAACTAAAGAAAAAATAGAGAAAAAAAGGTTTTGTCTTTATCCCCTCAAATGCATTGACACGATTACCTCCATGTGTAGTTTGAAAATAATGTGTTTAGGTAACAAGATTATGCATAGTACTTGATATGACTGTGGGTTGTTTTAACCGGTATATGATATGATATGTTTAGCTATTTTTGGTTAATAGTGTGTAAAATATCTCTGAGAGAATGATGAGCTGTATTTAGATAAGGATTTATTAATAATATCATCCATTGGTATTATACTAATTCAGACATACTATTATAAGTTTACAATTCATATATAAAACCGTGATAATTACTTTGCTTTTGATTCGAAAACACGGAGTATAGAACTACTAAATGTTCTCAAACTATAAATATGACTCCTACCTTTAAATTGAAAAAACACCTAAATACTTCAACCTAAAAACAACTTATATTTGGTTAAAATGTAACTTTTTATATGATTAAGGCACCACTCTCAAAAGAAATGTATAGTACGTGATATCACACACATTCCCTCGTTTGTCAAGTGATATACACTAATTAATGCATAAGTGTATGTTTTTATGTTTGATTTGTGTGTATTGTTTATCATGTTATTTAGTTTGTAAACATTTGTGTGATTTTGGTTGTAATTGTATTTTAATCTTCATTTATAAGTGGTAAAGTAGATTAAGAATTTATGGTGTTGGAAAAGAAGACTTTGAAGAGAAGAAAACAAGAAATTTGACTGCCCAGGAGCAAAACCCGACTGGGTAGAAATCCCCACCCGGTCGGGTCAGACATGACCCGGGACCAAACGACGTGCAGAAGCATGAGAACATGGCGGATTATTTGATTTTGACATGCACCCGGTCGGGTGGGCACTTGACCCGGTCGGGTACCCGGCCCAAGGTGTTGAAAAACACCTATAAATAGCACACTTTTCCTTCACAAACATGAATCCCTTCTTCCATACCCTTAAGCTCAGTTTAGAATAGTATTTCTTTTATATTTTTATAGTATGTTTAGTCTCCAAATGAGGAGCTAAACTTCCATTTCTTGGCGTTGCTCTTGAAGCTTGTTGATTATTAAAGTTGTGAGTTATTTTCTTAACTACTTTCCTTGAATATTAATTCTTCCTTTAAATACTATTTTTATATCAATGTTGGGGAGTGTTACTAAGATGACAATTAGTTAACATCTTGACATTGGTCTTAGTAATAGCTATTCCTTCCTCTATGTTAATATTGGGGAGTGTTACTAAGATGACAATTAGTTAACATCTTGATATTAACTATAGTAGGATTCATTTTCTTTAATATTCTTCCTCGAGTATTAACTAATTCTTATTCATATTTCATATTAATATTTTGAACATTACTTAAAGGATCAACTAGTTTTGTTTCATATATTAATTTTTACTAGAAACGAACAACGAACCGATGGTTAATCGTTGATAGTTTCACAAGTAAGTAACTTCGGTTTATTAATGCACGGTCGTGGTTAATAAACTTAAGAGGGATTAATTTTGTTGGATAAATCAAAACCGTTGTGTTGAGGTTATCAATCTCAATTGATTTCATCAAGGAGTAAGAGATTAAATGCTACTATCAAGTCGGTATATGGCGTTATTCTATACTTGACTAATAGTAAGAGTTATTAATGAACGGTCGTTGTTAATAACTAACCTCGATGAATTGGATATACTCCTCGATTGAGTATTCGAGAGGAGATAAGTTATAGATATAACAATGATCGACTAAAATATATCAACAAGTGGAAAGTAGCAATGCCAAGTCCTTTTTATCTTTGAATTAAATCTCACATAAGTTCTTCATCTTAGTATTTAATTAATTAAATTCCAACAATACCAAAACCCCCCTTTTATTTACTAGTTCATAAAAAGAGAATTATTTCTTTCCCTGTGGATACGAACTCTACTTCACTATACTACGTATTAGTGCTAGTATTGAATTTATTTTGACGCACCGTGACAAAGTGCACGTCATCAAGTTTGATAGGAGTAATTCAAAGAGCTACTAGAATTCCATCCTAAAAGGTTTACTTGAAGGAGGAGTAAGTCAAAGTCTTACATAATGTTTTATTGTTTTATAGTTTTTCGGTGTGATATAAATGATTTAACATGCCCCTCAACCCGAACTGGGCTGGACAATATCGAGGGTGTATACATGAGCCAAACATACCCTTTACAAGATACTCTTAATCATAGTTGTTAAACAAACAGTCAAATCACAACTAGATTTGACTCTGATACTGTGTTAAAATGTGTGGTTCCATCCTAAAGATAGCTATATCAAGCAAGATTTTAGTGTTAGAATGACTCCAGACATTTCACCACCAGGAAGAGGGGAGTCCCTAGGTTTTGTGGTTCTTATAGCTAAAACAATTGCAAAATGCTCCTTGTGAAGCCAATCAAAGTTAATACCTTCCTTCTCCATTAGATCTACCTATCTCTAAACTATATCAATTTTATCAGCATTCATGTTGGGCACTACATACATCATAAACTGACAGTATGACCCTTTTTATTCAACCGATCAGCAGCAAGACCAGCTGGTCCACTTCCAATAACATCAACTTGTTATCATGTTCTCTTTTCAGAGTTCAATTATAGCACATTCAATGCTTTTAATAGAGACTATGTCCATTTTTATCTCCGATAAACCGCTTTGTTAGCATCTCATAAGACCTTGGATCCTTTCCGAATTTTGATGCAGCCTCTTGATATCCATAATCGACTCAAAACACCCGAGGCCACTATGGCCAAGGATTGCTTGCAGCCCTAGACATTGGAGAGTGGGAGGGAGAAGCTCTAGGTTTACTATACTGCTACAACCATGTCGAATGGAAGTCCCTATGCAGTATATGCCGGTGTCACCGCCCCCAATAACTACTACCTTCTTGTCATTGGAAGAAATATAATCACCATCTTGGCCTCTTGGGTGCTTAATAAACAGTCAAATCACAATCGCACTTGGCTCTGATACCATGTTAAGACCTGATGAGGTTTCATCCTAAAAGGTCAACCGTATTGTTTTATAATTTTGTTGTGTGGGAATTTTTTTTTAACATATGTGACCAAAGCTCGTACCGGAGGTATTCAAATAATCTTAACAACAAAATGTTTACAGATAATTCTTTAAAAGAAAAGTAGCAAAAAAAACTAGACTACTAAAAATAATAATTTGATAAGGTTTAGTGTGATGAATGGAGTATGAATATATAAACCGTTTTGAATTAAATACTACCCTCGTCCCTTTTTATTTAGCCATTTTTGACTTTTCCAGTCAAAGATGATAAACTTTGATCCATTATTTTAACTATTATATTTATGCGAAACTTAATAAATTTATACTTTTATGATAGTACTTTTAACAAAGAACATTTTTGTATCATTTTTATATTATGAATATTACCGTGTAAAAATATATAATTGGTCAAAGTTGGACTTCATTGACTTGAAAAATAGTGTTTGGCTAAATAAAAAAGGGACGGAGGGAGTATGACTCTTTTGCTACAAAACTTCTGAATTTTATTAACAATAGAATAAGATGATTCTTAATTATTAATTTAATTTCGATATTTTAACTGTTTTACACTTATTTACTTATATGTATAATCTGTGGTCTCCCTCTCTAGGGTTCTCGCATGTTGCAAGCAGTTTCGGCCGCCGGGTCGTGGGTGCAGCTTGTTTCTTCAATTTTCAATTTTCAATTTCTTAGTTTCAGTGACTAGATGATTTTTACGAAACCCCTGGAGGAACAGTACCGTCGAAAGGTGCTAGACGGATAGGGATGAAGGCCCGGTTTTCATAGTCACGATCATGGATCTAAACATCGGGCTAGGCGCCCGCTTAGGCGCCGCCTACCGTCTAGTCACTAGGCGGTGGTCGGGCGCCACGACTTTGGTCGGGCTAGGTGGTGGTCAGCCACACGTGTTCTCAAAAAAAAAATGGTCGGGCGCCTAGGCGGCATACCGAATTTCATCACATAAGCGGATAAGCCACACGTTCTGAAAAAAATCGGTCGGGCGCCCCTTTTCATATGAACTTTTTTTTCTTAAAAAAGACATATTGTCTTACCCCTAAAAGAAAGGTAAAATTAGAAATTAAAAAAAAAAAAATAGCTAACCAAAAGGAAGAGAAAGTTTAACTACACAGCAGGCCTGGCAAAACTCTCTTTATCAAACTCTCTTTTTAAATCCGGCATCATTTGGCTTTTTTCATGATGAAGAAGTTGATTCAAAATTCTCCTCATCAAACAACAAATTTTACTAGTGAACTAGTCAAATGAACCAAAACTAATAAAAACGAAAACAA